CCCATTGTACAGCTAGAGGTTTGAGTTTGATCTGGAATGGGTGTGTCAAGTCCAACTGCAATTTAATCTCGATTGTTATAGATCTTGTAGTTAGTAATGGGTAGTGACATTAGTATTAGTGTGTTCTTTGGTTGATTGAATGGGTGCTGTTTAGTCTCCCATGTGATTTATTGCTGTCCTTTTGATAGGTCGATTGTAAAACTTTGCTGAGTTTAATGAATTTATGTTGTCGTTGGAAAAAAAAAAAAAAAAAAGAAAGCTACTGTCGTACCCCCACATTGTGGATGCTTTATATAATAAAACTTAATGATGTTTACATGTGGTATCAGAGCATGTGTTGTGAATAAATAATTTGGTGTACATGAAATACTTACTTGATGCGGAAGACGACATAATATGTGATCTTGATCTTGATGATCACAAGAGACTTGATCGATTGTTAGATCTAAATCAGTTTCTCCCTCCTGACCGTTCCTTAACGTAGCAGGAAATTGATGGGATAAAACTGCGTACCCTAATAGGAGGAGAGAAGACTAATTTATATAGGGGTGTCTTTAGATCTGGTACGTCCATCAAATATCCAGATTAATGGTTTAGATTTATTTGATTATTAAATAAAGGTCTGGCCCAATAGGATAATTTATTGTGAGCCCAATGCTTTCGGGCCACATATTCTTACACAACAAACTATCTAATCTATATTATTTCCTTCCTGCAGCAGGGGCCTCGGGGCCATCGCGACGGCGGCCATCTCCGGGCCGTGCGGCTGGCGGCTTCTTTTTCCCGGGTGAGGCGGCGGATTCACCCAATTTGAATCTCGCCTCTTTATCGGTCGCCACGGAGGACTCCCCGGAGTCTGGGTAGCGGCGCTTTTCCGGCAATCTTGCGACTAAGGGTTCCGGTCCCGATCATCAAATTTGGAGTCGGTGGTGGTCGGGCTGAGATCGGGCCGTTTCGCTTTCCTTCCTTCTCCGGTTTTCTCTGCTTTTGGACATGTTGGTTTCATTGGCGGAGTTGTGTCGGGGCCGGGTCTCGTGTCCTAGGCTCGGGTCATCTAGGTTGTGAAGGTGGAGCTTGTTGTTGATCTCTGGCTTCGGATGTAAAGGTTGTCTACCCCGGGAGGGACAAGGTTTATAGTCTCGAATCTAGTTAGACGATTATTCTGAAGTTTCTGGCTTTACGACTTGGACCGGGTCTTGTCCGTGTGGGTGGTCGGCGTCTAGTTGTATTCGGTTGGTTCTCGCTGCTGTTGGAAGGGCTTTAGTTTATATTATTTTATTTTATTTTTAGTGTCTTTTGTTGTTATGTTTTTAGATGTTATGTTTGTGTTGTGTCGTAGTAGTGTGTATGTTTTTTTTTCTACGCTTTAGTATTCTCCCGTTGGGGAGTGTGTATTCTCCCATAGGGAAGCGGGTTTTTGTGTGTTTGTTGTGTTGTATTGTGGATTCTAGGCTACATTTGGTAGGCCTCCCTTATTCGATTATTGAGTCGGTTGTAATTATGTGTTCTAGTAATGATACCTATCGTAAAAAAAAAAAAAAAAACTATTGTCGTACCCCGTGCGATGCATTGACTAATTTTATTAAGTTAAGCATTTATATTTGGATGATTGGAAAAAAAAAATATAACTTATATATTGTTAAACGGAAACAAAATGTAACCTATATATTATTAAACATAAAATAACGTACCTCTATGTAAACCGTATTTAAGAAAATAAACACTTGACACCTATATATATTATGATTCTAAATAGGCTTAAATAAATTAGTTAAATTATTTTAGCAGGATATATATGATATGATTTATACTGGTTTTATGAAGCTCAACGTTTGAATCTCAGTAATTGCACGAGTAGTAAGTGATTTATACGATTTAGTTTTATTGACAAATTAATATTGGGGAATGTTATGGTTTCGTTACGGTACCATCTCGTCGGATGTTTTAACTGTTGGATACACATGTAGTTAGTATAAGATAAATAATTTAACAGTTAAAACACCCAACGGGATGGTATCGTAATAGGACCATATCATTTCATTATTATTATTATTATTATTATTATTATTATTATTATTATTATTATTATTATTATTATTATATTATGGTTCATTTTTATTGTGTTTTTCCATTTGATGATTCAGTGGACGAATGTTATATTTCAGCATATACATGAGATTAATTTACAAAATTAATTATAATATTATTACGAACTTCATTTCACAATTTACTTGGAAGCGAAAAACAGAGAAGAATACAAAAAATAAAAATATACATTTTACAAACGAGATCCTTTTTTCTTCCTCTCAAACC